ATTAAAGTTGTAGCCTGAGGAAGTTATATATTAACTAAAACCATATAGCCATTTCTATAGCATGGAATGGATGAAACAGATCACTGATAATAGATCTCTGTGGCCTCCTTTTAGCTGGCCATGTTTTTCTTTTCAAAAAGAAAAGTTTGTCTTACCAAGTAGTCTCATGCCTTCCTAACCTATGGGCAGATACTTGGAATTGCAAACGACACAGACAGCCACCAACCATCACTAAACTCTGCAATCAAAGTCTGAAAGTAAAGTGGGTGTGAGGTGCCAGGTTAAAATGAAGGGAATGGACTGGCAAGATGGCTCAGTGGGTAAAGGCACTTACCGGGCAAGCCTGACAATCTGATAAGTTCAATTCCCAGAACCCATGTACAGGTAGAAGGAGGGAACCAACTCCATGGCATTGTCCTCTGACCTCCACAGGTACACTGTGGCATGTACACACACACACACACACACACACACACATATAATAATAATAATAATAATAATAATTTTCTTAAAGGAAGGGAAGAATTTTCCGATGTACTAGTTTTCCTCAGATTCTGCTTGACATAAAAAACAAAAATATCCTTCTTGATGTCTCTCTTTCATTCTTATCTACAGCATTTTTCTAATTAATAGACTTTATTTCTAAAACAATTTCAGGCTTACAGATCTATGGAGCAAAAAGTACAAAAAGCCTCCACACAGCCTCTGATCACATTGCTTGGGCCCTCACTCCTTCCACTTCCCCTATTATTAACATCTTGCTACGATTTATGCACCACAACTAATGAACCAATATTGATATACTAACAGGTAAAATTCACATTATGCCTGAGGGTCACTGGTGCAGTGTGGTTCTCTCTGAGGCTTTTCAAAATTCATATATCTGGCCCAATACATCAGAAATTACATAAGAAATGTGAATTAATCTGTAATGATAAATTACTCAGGGCTCTAACAAATGTCAGTGTTACTTAGACGTGAGGTTCATGAACCACACAATCCTCACTTAGAAATACATTCACAACTCAAGGCACTACATGTAAACCATCTGTAGGTGCTACATCATCTCTCACAGCTGAGAACAGACATTATTGGTCTTCAAACATCCCATAGGCCCATCTTTATGCTTATCTTACTTCTCAGTTTGTGCTTTCTTTCCTTGGTCCCAAAAGACTCTCTCCTGTATCATTTTTCATGCTGTTTGTGAAGTTCTGGAAACTCTGTTGTACTCTTCCTTTTACTATTTATATGTTTACAATAACTTTAAAGCTGGGCTATGAAAACCATAAACTACCAGTAGGTGCCACTCTCCAACAGATGATGTTGCTGCATTGAACATTTAGAGGTTTCCAACTAGCTACAAAGCTACCATCCCTTCAGTCAAGGAACAGGTAAAAGAAATGACATGCACTCTTAAAACAAGGACATGTATGCTTCCTACCATATTTGCACTGACCTGCATTGTGTGTGTGTGTGTGTGTGTGTGTTGCTGGGGATCAAACTCTGGGATTCGTGCATACTAGACAAGTGTTCTAGCACTCAGCCATACCTCATAGCCCACCTTTAAAATACAAACTCTTCAGAATGAGAGATACTCTGGCTCCCAAAGACATCATACAGCTCTTGTCCAATGACAATTTATACTCCATAAACTCTAAAGAAAGCATGTTTCATTCATCCATGTTTGATTAGCAATGTATCCACCACAGAATCAATTTATCAAGTAGTGCTTCTTGTATTCAGTATTTTCAAATTAGTAAGATTCATCCCTGATGACAAGCTTATTTTATTTATAGTAATAAACACCAAAGCTTAGTAATTACTGATCTTGAAAAACCAGTCAACAATATCGGGTATGGAATAATAATTTAGCATTTTCCTTGTTCCTGAATTTTTCTTTTATAATTTGCTTTTCATCTGTTTTTCTGGCAATTGAAGCCTCTCTTTGAAGTTGGTCAGGAAAACTGACATAAAAAGAAGCAAACTAGGGGTCAAGGGGCTATAGAGATTCTCAGTGGGGAGCTGCCTGTTGCACCAGCATAAGGACTCGAGTTCAGATCCCAGCACTCATGTAAAGTCTCAAATGGGAGGATAATCCCAGCACTGGGAGTGCAGAGAGGACAGGCAGATAGCAGGGCCTCACTAGTGGGCCAGCCACTCCAGCTCAGAGAGCTTCAGGTCAGTGAGAGACCCTGTCTCAAAAACTAAGGTGGAGATATGACTGAGGAAGACACTCAACATCAACCTTTGACCTCCACATGTACCTGCATGGGCAACTACACAAACACAAACACACATACACACACACACACACACACACACACACACTCACACTCACACATGCACATACCAAACAAACTGAACTCTGGCATTTGTTGGCTTTGTTAAAATATCTAGTAGTGGAGCCATGTGTGGTGACACATGCCTTTAACCCCAGCACTTTGGAGGCAGAGGCAGGCAGATCTCTGTGAGTTCCAGGTCAGCTGGGGCTACATCAAAAAAAGACCAAAATATGGTGATGGAGCTGAAGAGATGGTTCGGTAGGTAAGAGCCTTGGCTACTCTTGCAGAGGACCCAGGTTCCATTCCCAGCACCCATGTGGCAGCTAACAACTATCCATAACTCCAGTTCCAGGGGATCCAATGTCCTCTTCTAACTTGCATGGTCATTGCACAGCACCAGGGCACTTATACATGCAGGCAATGCACTCATACACATAAGAATAAAATAAAAATAATAAATAAGGGGCTCGAAAGATGGTTCAGCAGTTAAGAGTACTTGCTGCTCTTGCAGAGGACCCGTGTTTGAATCCCAGCACCCACATGGCAGCTAACAGCTGTCTTAACTCCAGTTCCAGGAGATCCAACGCCCTCTTCTGTCCTCCACCGGCATTGCACAACCCCAATGCACTAACACACATGCAGGCATAACACTCATATACATAAAATAAAAATAAATCAAAAAAAATTTGAAAAATAAAATATTAATATATATGGTGAAGAAGCTGGTAGATCCTGATATAAAAAATAAAGTCAATAATTAATCTGTAAAATTGATTTAATCCTATTATTTTACTCTCGAACATAAAAAGATGTCATATATTGCTAATGTCATATTATAAAGGCCACTCTATTAAAAGGCCACATTTTTAAAGATTTACTTTTATTTATGTGTATGTGTGTGTGTCTCTGTGTGTGAGTGGGCACAGGTCTGTGGGTGCCCTCAGCAGCCACAAGTGGGTAATAGTTTTCCCCTGGAGTTGAAGTTACAGGTGGTTGTGAGCCTCCCAAAGTGAATGCTGGGAGCTGAGCTAGGGTCCTCTAAAGAGCAGCAAGTGCTCTTAGCGCTGAGTCACCTCTCCATCAAATGGCCACATTTCAATAACAGATTTTTAACCACAGTATAAACTGCACTAAAAAGTAAGATCTTTACAAAGGCTATTCCACACTTCCAAAACACTCTTCGAAACTTCTCTGCGGACTAACTGGGCTCCCACCATCTATCCCATTGCCTTGACAACAAATCCATTCGAGACAAAATAAAAACGTTCATTCTTCACATCTCCATAGCATGGTGTGCACGTCTAGTTTACCTTCAGCACACAACTCCAGAGTTATGTGTCTATATCTGCCTTTCCCACTGTGTTCAGCATCTTGCAGCAGAAACACCTGATTCATTTTCTAACTTCTGGACCCAGCACAGTCTTGGCACACAGCAAGTCTGTTGCATGAGTTCACGTGAACTGGGAACAAATCCACTCCCTGTAAACCAGTCAGCTTTTAAATTAGCACAAACTAGAATTAACTCTTTATTACTCATACCATTACAATCCTGAAGAAGAGAAAAGCAAGTTCACACAGTTCCAAACCAGAATAACCCTCCCATAGATGGCTAGCCTCAGCCAGCACCAGCACTGAAGCATCACTGAGCATGTGCAAACAGAAGGCAAAGCCAAGGTAGCAGCAGCACAGCTTCTACAAGAAGCGTTGTTGTTTGGGGTCCTTCTTTCTTCTTTTCCTTTCCAACAAGTATGTACATTCAAACTGTAATAATTTATGGAATGCTCATGGATTTGGAATGTCTCAGTTTAGTAGTCTCTAACTATACAATAAACTGGGATAAAGGCACATTATAGAGAAAACAACCCACATGGTGGAAGGTCACCATGAACGTTGTCCTCTGGCCTCCACCCGTGTGTTCCATGGTATACACACACTCATAAACGCATACACACAGACAGAGAGATGTAAAAGAACAAAGATCCTATTCCTAACTTGAAGAAGTATATGAAAACATTCATTTTATTCAGAAGTCAAGTAAATATCTAACAAAACATTTCTAGCAGCAAACTAATGAGTGATATGGAGATCTGAGTTTCAACATCTTTTCATTACCAAGTGGTAAGTAATATACAAATTAACCTCCAAAAAAGGAAAACAAACAAATAAACAAGAAAGCATGCAGAAGGACTCCTGCAATCTAGATAGAAGACAGCAGGATGCAATGACCTAAATCTTAGGGTTCTAAAGGAAACCTAAGGACGGCTACTTTTCAGCTCTCCACAGAGCAGCTGGATGACCTGAGGCAAATCATTGTGAATCCTAGTTTGCATTTTTCTGAACTGTGAAAGTGGCTGGGATAAGCCAGGTGTGGTGGGGCAGGCCTGCAATCCCAGCACTCAGGAGGCTGAGGTAGGAGGATCTCAAGTCTCAGGTCAGCCTGGAGTACACAGTGAGACCCTGTCTCAAAGTACAAAATAAAACACAATGATCTCCAAGTCCTCTTTACCATAAGTTATTCCTTAACTTGTAAAAAATTTAAAAATAAAGATTTTTATATCAAATATGAGGTTAAAATTTTTTTTCTAGCCACCAGTTCATTATTTCTTTCCATAATGATTTTAGAAACACTCTACCCAAATGTCAATTAAAGAGTAAATTAATGGGTTTTCTCTATAAGACAAAATCCTAATAAGGTTATACTAAAAAGATGTCACTGACCTGGTGCGACCACATTCACTCTTACTTTCTTCCTTGCAACCTCTTTAGCAAGTGCACGTGAAAATCCAACTAACCCCCCTTTGCTGGCGCTGTACACGGACTGGCCTACGTTGCCTTTTAAACCAATAATACTCCCTACAAGAAAAGAAAGGAAGCAAAGAAAAGGAAAACCAATTAGTGCAATTATTGAAAATTCAGATAATATACAGGAACAAACCAGAAAGGTAAAACCCATTGTTCTTCATCCTATCCTAAAATGAATAACCCTAACCACCGTCCTTTGAGGAGTACCACGGAGTCTACCCTGCTCCAGACACATACAGAACCGGGATCTAAAAGAAGCTGATGGAAAACCAGCAGGGACAGGCAAGACGCTTAACATCTATCTGCGCATTACGTGACACGGACCATTCTAAGGCCTGCAGAGGTCAGATATATGAATACAGGGCCTGACAGAAATAAGCTGAAGCCAGGAAAAGGGAAATAAAGGCTGGTAAATTTTATGATCCTATTGCAGACATTAGGACATGTTCACTTCCACCTACAGGAAAAGTTCACTGAATGGATCTTGCGGCATTTGAATTCTGCCAATCTAACTCAACCTTACAAACTCTCACAACATGCAGCTTTGCTATTTCAGTGCTATATTATAAGTGTCTGACTACTGAAGATTCCTCAGTGACTTCACTTAATAAATATGTAAGAACAATTTACAATTCGAGTATCAACTATAGGCAAATAAATGTTTGCAAAACAGAAGTAGGGAAGTAATTTTCTGCACCACTGGCCTGTATTTACAATACAAGAATTGAATAAGAACCTCATTTAAAAAATTTGAAATGACATCAAAAAAATAAAACCTTCCACTTTTTCTGTAATAAGAAGTCCAATGTTCAAATATTTACCTACATTATACAGTCACTCACTGCTCGATGACAGTGACACACCCCAAGAAACACACTGTGGGTGGCTTCACAGTTGTGCACAAATCACAGAGCTTGCATACATAAAGCAAGCTGAGCCTGCTTCACCTACGCTAAATGGCATAGCCATTCGTTTCCAGGCTACAAAACTATACAGCATATTACCACACAGAATACTGGGGGCAAGCAATAAGCATATGTGTATCTAAACCCAAAAATGGAACAGTAAGAAAGTAGGCAATGGGGTTTTTCACCACCATTATAATCTATGGGACCACTGTCATGCATATGATCCTTCATCAACTGAAACATCACGTGGCACATGACTGTATGACTGTATGGTATCACATGCCAGTTGAGAGAGGAGAGAACTGTGAAGAAAAGAAAGAAGAGACATCAGGTTGAGGAAAGATGTGAACAGAAGGAATATTTGGGAGAAAGAGAAAAACAGATACCGCCCCCAAAAGGGAAACTGTAGGCATGTAAGAAAGTTCAAAGAAGCCTTAGTAACTAACATTCAGGCCACACATGATTGTTTATTTGGTCAGACCAAGGTATTTCTAAAATACCAATGACAATTCTACTTTTTCATAGTGTATGTTAAATTATTACAAATATATTAGTTTTAGCAACATTCTAAAAGTCTAAGGGACTAACTTAGGTTTTTGAAATTTACCTAAAATGGGGCTATTTTAAGCAAATATAATCCCCATGACACCCAGTGACAGACTCAGGAGTGTGTGGCAGCTCATAAGGGACTAACTTAGGTTTTTGAAATTTACCTAAAATGGGGCTATTTTAAGAAATATAACCCCCATGACACCCAGTGACAAACTCAGGAGTGTGTGGCAGCTCGTAAGAACCCAAAGTCCAATCTGGGTATGTTGGACGACAAAGGGCACCATTCACCAGTTCCTTCCAAAAGAAAGTTTTAATGGAGAACATCCTCCATTGTGGCCTACTAAGGTTTTATCACTTAAAAATAAAAGGCAGACGGTACCTACTATTTTCTAATTATTAAGCTGAAATGAAACCTCAAGCCATTCTGCATTTTAAGCTCTGCAGGCATGAACCCCACAGCCTCTCTTCCGTGAGGCTCCAATGAATTAAAACTTCCTTGTGTCTACTAAAAAAAACTGGAGTTTAGTTTCTTCCAACTTCTGCACTAATGAGTGATACCTGAAATTACTATAATAATTATCTAGCCCTCATGTCTATAATTTTTCTTCTTGAATTTTCAAAATTAGATTTGGTAAAGAAATTGAGATGCCTGATTTATCTTGAAAAGTAAAAATTGCTCACAAAATTCAACCACATTCATGCACACCCAGAAACAGCCTACTGGGTCTGAGCAGGTGTGGCTCCCCCATTCCACAGTGTCTCAGGACACTGATCCTGGAGGTCATCTATCACACAGCTTCAGTCATTTTCTAATACTCTATCAACACTGCAGGACAGCTGTGGGGGTGTAAATCTGTGATTCGTGTCTTATTTATTGATCCATTAAATACTCTTTCTACAGAAAATACAAAGATAAATTTCATCCAAGTTTCACTGCTGAGGAAGTCACTACTCCGTGGATTAAGCACTTTGATGCCATTATGGGATAATTATAAACCCATGAAGGTAAAACTCACCTACGTTAACAATGGAGCCACCCTGCTGAATCATCATCTTCATGGCTGCTTTGCATGTCAGCATGGAGCCCAGGAGGTTAGTGTGAAGCTGAGATACCATGTCTTCAGTTTTGGCTCTTATTAAAAGACTGTCTCTACAAAAAAGAAACAGCATGGACGTTAACACCTACATCAAAAAAAAAAAAAAAAATCAAGTCAAAGGGCTCTTGCAGAGGGCCTGAGCTCGGGTCCCAGTACCCACATCAGGTGGCTCATAATCACCTCCAACTCCAGTTCCAAGGAAATGACACCCTCTTCTGGACTCCCTGGGTACAAGAGCAAACACACGCACACACACACACACACACACACACACACACACAATAAAATAAATCTTTTAAAAAGTATATGCACAATTATGATTAAAAATACAGTCTAAGACATTTAAGACGTGTTTTCTAGCTAAGTGCTGGACAGTCTCATTTTGAACTTGGTCTGAAGCTATTAAAACAGCTATTGGTGAGCCAGAAAGGATCTACTTGGAGGGCAACTTCCCATTCCCTCTCTGCTACAGTGGCAAATGGTCCCAGTTGCTAAACATAGAATTATATAGCCAAAGTATTTCGAATGAATGGGCTGAGCAACTGAGAGTTTTGCCTTATTTAACATGACAATTAGTGTATGAGATTAAATACTTTCTCCTAAACTCATCTTTTAAAAGTGTTTTTAAATCTCTACCCTATTATTCTGATTCCATTCACATTAGGCTCATCATGTATGATAGAACTCAGAACACTGGTTTCAGACAAGAAAAAATGGAACGAGCCTTCTGGCATGCTGGGTGATGTGCTGATGATGGTGATGTTAGGACTGATCCAACTGGACATTTGTCTCAATATAAAATGAAACAATAGGGGCTGGAGATATGGCTCAGCAGTTAAGAGTGTATACTTCTCTTGTAGAGGACCCAAGTTCACATCCCAGCACCCAAATCAGGCAGGTCATGACCACCTATAACACCAGCTCCAGGCAAGCTGACACCCTCTTCTTGCTCCACAGATACCACACTCACATGCACATACTAACACACACACATACATACACATAAAAATCTTTTTTAAAAAAATGAATGTATGGATTGACAAATTTTCAAATATGTACTTCTAATTATAAGCAAAACAATACATTATCTCATACTAATCAAAAACCTATTAAGAAAAAGTTTTTTTAAAAAAAAACATCAGAAATTTATCTCAATCCACGACCAACCTGTTAATACCAGCTGCATTTACCAAGAAATGTACTGGACCTAAACGTTTCTCCATCTCTTCAAATGTATTTTGAATATCCTGTTCTTTAGAAACATCACAGCTAAATGCCAAGTGATCTCCTACAAAACAAAGTTAATCAGGATTACCTATAAATTATAACTTGAATTTCAAATTTTCTTGGGATATACTCATTGATGCAAGGCAGACCCATGCTAAACGTAGATGTGAAAGTGCATCAGGGTTCCTGCTTTCATGACCTGTCTAATGAAATGAGTCAGAGTAGGCAGAAGACAAGAAGAAAGCATTGGTTTTCCTTTTGTGTTTTTTGTTTTAAGACAGAATCTTGCTATGTAGCCTAGGTGGGTCTCAAACTCAGGATCCTCCTGCCTCAGCCTGCCAAATGCTAGGATTACAAAAGTGCACTACCATGTTCAAATGAAATAAAATACTACAGAAAATTAACTTTTTAACTGGAGTTCTCTTGCTGGGCACAGTAGTACCATGCTTGTAGTACCCTATCTACAATGCTGAAGACAGGATGCTTGGTGAAGCCCACAAGCTCAAAGCTACTCTGAGTGAGACCTCAAATTCTTAAGAAAAAAAAAACTTGAAAAAGTTTTAAAATAAAAAAATAATTGGGGCTGGCAAGATGGCTCAGTGGGTAGGGGAACTTCCCACCAAGCCTGAGACCTGAGTTAAATCTCTGAGCTCCACATGGTGGAAGGAGAGAGTGGACCACGGGATTGCAGATGACACAGGCTGTCTGCTGACCTTTACACGCACACCAAGGCACATACGCACCCACCGAAACAAATTAAGTTTTAAAATAAAGTAAGACTTGATTGTGGGAGGTCCTGCGTTCCTGTAATCCCAGCACTTAGCAGGCTGAGCAAGCAGATGGCTGCTACAAGTTTGTGGCCAGCCTGGGCTACAGAGTAAGAATATAGGGGAGGGTCAAGTGGAGCTCCCTAGGTTTGATCCCCATCACCACACACAAGAAATTACACTCGAAGGAAAAGTATTCTCTACTAAACAAGCTGCCAATTTAATATTTATGCGCTTTCATTTATGATGGAGAAACATCCAGATGAACCAACTGTGAGGTTAAAATGCATTTTACTCATTTAACCCACCCATCAGGTGGTTGGCACCACAGTATTAGTTGTGTACCACCCTGGAGCAGTGGTCATCTGAGCGCTGAGCTTGTGCCCAAGCCCAGGATCAAAAGGTACCACAGCGGTGCTCCCTGTAATTCCTGACGTGGGAAATCTAGATTCAGGGGCAGCCTGGGCTACATAGTGAGACACTATGCAAAAAAAAAAAAAAAAAAAAAGGAGTACGGGAGGGAGACCACACTGCAGGTTATCAGACTAGGAAGAGATTCGAATTTAACTCCAAACTGTGGTTTGTACTGAAGATGTTACTCTCCGCCATTGTAATCTCCGCAATGGGGAAGTTGAGGCACAAGGACCTCGAGTTCAAAGCCAGTCTGAGCTACATAGCAAGACTGTTTCCAAACAAAATGTAGCAGGCACTGGATACACCCTCAGACCTCTATTATTCACAATGCCTGCCAGGTAGTGATACATATTCTCCATACTAGTAAAAATGCTTACTGTGTTCCAAATGTCTGGTTCTCACTAGCATCCAAAGACAAACTTGCAGAACTAATCCAGTATTAATAAAGGGGGGGGGGGAGTAAAATTTGAATGGAATAAAAAATGATCGGGCAAAACAAATTAGTAACTTATCAAAGTGCTTGATGGATGAGGGAAAGCAATCCCTGCGTGTCTATCAACTGGCTGGTACTCAAAAAGGGTTTCCCTGTCAAGTACAACTCTGTGCTTGTCAAAGTACACAGGGCAAGAAGCCTCAGCAAAACGGAATCTACCCTGCCCTTCCTGACAGCCCGCCTTCTCTCTTCACACAGAAAGTTCAGTGCAGTGGTTTCTTTCCCACCAAAACAAGGCGGCTCCTCCCGGTCAGCCCTGACAGGAGGATGGCTACTTCTCAACGGGGCCTCGGGAGTGTTTGGGGGATGCGGGGGCCGATCTGGGCACAAGCGGGTCTTCAGGGGCAGTGGGCACCGTGGACTCAGGCTCGACGGTTAGCACCGCGGCCGCCCGGCGGGGCCGCACCACTCTATATACCTACCGCCGAGCTCGCCGGCGGCGGCTCTGGCCATTTCCAGGTTTCTGGACACGATCGCCAGACGGTAACCCTTCTGGGCCATCAGCTGGGCTACCGCCCTGCCGATCCCCCGGGAGCCTCCAAAAACCGCACAGACTTTGTCCATCTTGGACCCGGACGCCGCAAGCCGGAACCCTAGGGGTCCGAACGTCTAATAAGGGACACAGCAACCGTAAGGGCCCAGACGACACTCCCCAAGCCCCGAGGAAAAGGGAGCGAAGAGTTCGACGCAAGCACGCACAGGCATGACGCCTGCAACTGTGCTGACGTAAGCGCGCACCGGCTTCCTGGAGTGGCACTCTTGGAGTTCGCCGGTGGGAGGGCCGCGTTGCATTCTGGGATTTGTAGTCCTGACGGGCGAGGCCAGAGGCTGCAGGAAGCGTCTTCTGCTAGAAAGCCGAGTCCGCAGGACAGGTCAGGGGACACAGGGTCCTTTGCTCAGGGATAACAGGGTTGTCATTGTCCCGGGAAAACCGCAGTTAGCACCCACAGTGTGTCCTATTTGGCGTAGACCTGCCCTGCCTGGCGTTTTAACTGCCCAGACAAAACCTGTTGAAGTGGCAGGTGGAAGACTCACCAAAACCATGTGAGTTCCTCCCCTGAGTTACTGTAGAAATGGGCTTCCTGTGGCAGTGTTAAGGTCCTGTCGAAGAACACTACTTGGGCATGGTGGCTCAGGCCTCCAATCCCAGCTCTCGGGGTTGAGGCAGTCGGATTGCAGAGAGCTTGAGGCCTGACCTAGCATGAGCTACAAAATGAGTCTGTGCCAGCCTAGGCAAAGAGTGAAATCCTGTCTCAAAGAAAACAACCCAGAAAAGAACACCGAATTCAAGTAGTTCAATAAATGTTAGTTATTTTTTTCAGCTTTTTGTGACAAAGTATATGTGACAAACTGTGCCAGTTACCCAGGCTGGCCTAGAACCCACTATGTAGCCCAGGCTATCAACACTCAATGGCCCTCTTGCCTCAGCCTCCAGAGTGTTGGAATTCCAGGCATTACACATTAACTGAATGATTTAATTAGTCTTGAAAAGATAAACAAACAAACTTAGACTTATTGACAATACTGTGTTCCACACTTCTTAGTAAGATGTGCTGAGTGCTTTTTTCTTTTAAGGGAGCATTTGTTACCATGTGTAAAAAGGAAACGTTTCTTGGTAGACTTTTATTGCAAAAGATTCAGAAAATATAAACCACGGTCCCTATGGAAGAAAAAGATTCAACCTGTGACAACAGATGAATTCACATAAAATATTAGAAAGTTAAATTCTTTAGTAAAGTATTAAATGATATTAACAGAGAAGTCAAAGAAAAGAGATCAATGAGGATGAAGGAACAAAACGATGGAAAAGCTGGATCTGAAATAAATCTTGAGAAAAAAATACTATGAGCAAGTTGAGCATTATTTTGAAAGTTTGATTTTTTTTTCTTTTACCGAGATCCAAAAAGGGCTTGAAATGGCTGAAGAATATGTAGGTACTTTTTTAAGTGTTGTTCCATTGTGTGTGTTTTTAATTTTATGTTTATGAATATTTTGCATGCATGTAAGTGCACCATGTGCATCCAATACCCAGAGAGGCCAGAAGCAGGTGTCAGATCCCCTGTAACAGGAGTTGTGAACAGTCGTTAGTTGTTATGTGGATTCTGGGAACGAAACCCAGGTCCTCTGCAAAGGCAGCCAGTACTCTTAACCGCTGAACCATCTCTCCAGTGCCCTTTCATTGTGTTTTTATTGAGATAGACTCTTGTCACATAGCGCACGCTGAAATTTAAACTCATGATGGTGTTGTCTGAGCCTCTTGAGACCTGGGATTTCCAGTGTGCCCACCACTCCAGTTGGAGATATATATTTATTTTTTTAATTATTTATTTAATAACCACATAATTAGAATAAGCATTTCATTATAATAGCAGTGACATAGTAACAATTTCCAGACCTAAGATGCATCTCTTTCAAAATTGGCTGTAAATTTTTAGGTTTACAGTTGAATAAATACAGTTACACAATATTGTACTCAGTATAAACCATGTAAGACATAAAAGAAAATAAGGTTTTAACCTTTTAAAAAAATCTCTATTTCATTATTAAAGTATACACTTTCATACATAAAAATTCATTTTTAATGCAATTGACACTAAGATGTTTGCACATGTGTTTCTGATCGCTATATATCTGATTATTACTAGTCACAGACAGTTACTTTCTGAGATCCTTGGCATCAGAGCATGGATATGAAGTCATCAGGTAGATTTCAACGGTAATGTTTTTCACATCTACCAATTATTAAGGAGAAATTTATATGCTTCAAATAACTTTTTTAATTTAATAACCACATGATTAGAAGAAGCATTTCATTACAGCTTTAACATATTCATTAACACATTCCAGAGTAAGAAAAGAATACACCTGTTTCAAAAGTAGCTGTAAATGTTTAGGTTCACAATTGAATTAATACAGTTATACAATATTGAACTCACTATAAGCCCTTGTAAGATATAAAATTGAATGACTTTTTAACCTTTAAAAAAGATCTCCATTTCATTTTAAAATATACTGTTTCTTAGAGAAAGACTCATTGTTTTTCCTAATAACACTGAGATGTTGGCTCATGCGTCTCTTATCTGTATGTATCTGATGATTACTAGTCGTAATCGGTTGCACTCGGATCCTAGGCACCTGTGTATGTCTATAAAGTCATCAAGTAGATTTCGATGGTAAGGTTTATCACCTCTACTAATTAACATGACATAAATTTTTATGCTTCCTCCTCAAATATAATACATTTTTTTAAATTTATTGATGTGTGTGTGTGTGTGTGTGTGTGTATCACACAGAACATCCCAAACCATCTTATTCAACTATACACCCACTTCCCAGATGGCCCCCTCCCATAGCCTCCTTCCCCCCACTAGAGCCCTTATACTCTGTTATCCCTGCTTATTGTCTGCTGTGGGGTCAGCAACCCTAGCCGTTCCCCATTACTTGTCCATCTGGTGAATCTAGTCAGCCTGTCTAGAGGTCTTTGTTTTAGGAAGGTCAGCCGTCTTCATCTAGCAGCAATCAGTTGTCAGTATTCCTTTAGATAAGATTGGGGTCTGCTGTTTTATTCCCAGTTCAATGCTGGGTTACTATCTGGGAGTCCCTTTGGCCACCGGGGCCAACAACTCAAAAGACAGGATAGCCTGTCTGGCATTGTTGATTGTTATGCAGCCTTTAGCTATACGTATGGACTCTTATGAAATTATGTTGGCCCTTTTAATCTTTGGTTATACTTTCCTTTTGGGTGTTTAAGGCCATACAGTTGTACCAGATAAACCGATTTATTTTTACTCTTAATGTCGTTTGAGGATGTGTTCCTCAGGGGTCAGATGGACTTGGGAGGAGCCCCTGGCTCCTTTCTTTTACCAGTACTGCCTATGTGAAGAGAAGTCTAAGGTCCTGCTCAACCATGGCTGGCCTCATTTGGAAGCATGGAGGAAGTGATTCCTCTGTGTGGACCCTCCTCTTTGTAGACTGGACACTGGTTCAAGTCCATCTGCTGGGGTCTCCTCAGCCTCCTTGATCAAGACGACAGGTGACCCACCACAATTACAGGGCATTTTAGAGATGTTCATAGTCCCCTGGTACTAATTGACCTAGGAGGGCAAGGAGCAAAAAACTATCCTTTATGTCCCTTTGACAAAATTATTATAGGCCTCAAAGTATGTCTGTTAAACATCCAAGAAGGTTAGTTCCACCAGACTGGTACTTTTAATTACTGTGTGTCATGTAGATAAACCTTGGGCAAAGACCAGTTGTTCTCAGATAAACCTTACCTAGACGTATATTTGTAAATTTGGTAGCAGGTTTTTGGAGTAATATGCTTCCCTCTGGTTTTCAAAACTAGCTAGGCATTATTTATCTCTCCCATTGTCTCACCCCTCCATCATGGTTTTCCCACTTAAGGTGCCCCCATTTCCCCCCTTTCTCCCTTACTAATACCCTTCTCCTATGGTCCTACCTCTCTTGAGCCCCTTCTTTTTCTTTATCCCCTAGGTTCCTTGTATACCCCCCACTTAAACTAACCCAATTTTTATTCATATCTCCCTTATTAAGGCCTGTTTATTACTGTTCTTCTCTTTCAGGTTATGTCTTTTCCTTTACCTCCCTTGTTCCTTTCCATTATCCTGGTTCCTGTAGTTGTCTGGTTGCATGATTATTTATCAGAGCCTAGTTCTAGGATCCACATATGAGGGAGAACATATGTTGATTTTTTTTTTTCTGAGTCTGTGTTACTTCACTTAGTATAACAGTTTCTAGTTCCATCCATTTACCTGCAAATTTCATGATTTCATCCTTCTTTACTGCTGAGTAAAACTCCATCATATAAATTAACCACATTTTCATTATCATCAGTTGAGGGACACTTCAGTTGCTTCCATCTCTTAGCTATTGTGAAAAAAGCAGCAACAAACATGGATGTACAAGGATGAGTACAATAGGATGAGTTCTTTGGGTATATGGCAAAGAGTGGTATAACTGGATCAAATGGTAGGTTCATTTGTAGTTTTTTAAGAGTACTCCACACTGCTTTCCATAGGGGTTAAACAAGTTTGCAGCCCCACCAGCAGTGGATGAGTGTTCCCCTTTCCCCACATCCCCTCCAACAT